ATTTATTAGTAAACTATTTGTAGATAAAATGGTTTTCATTATTCTCATAACAATCTCATAATAAATTCTTACTTTCATGCTGCTTCCTTCTATCAACTCTTGGTCGAATATTATTTTATTAGTCAAATATTATTTTGATATAGAATATAACCTCGATTATACATCACATACATACATTATCGGAACGTTCAATCATCAGAATGTTGTATAATTTTCCATAGTGTACCTCATATACATATATACGTATATAGCTATATAGGTATATAATCCATATAGTATTTGTTTCCCCCTATTAAGATTGTCGACGATTGTAACTGTTGAAGTAAAATCTCGTCACAACATTTCAGTGCGGTATTTACATTTGAAACGTTACAAACAATAATGGCTCCAACACGAAAACGGTTACGGTTGACAGTTGAGAAAAAATATGAAATCCTTCAGATGATAGACAAAGGTGAGTCTCATAGATCCATAGCAAAAAAGTATGGAATTGGACGTGCCACCGCGTCCACTATAAGATCAAGACGAGAAGAGATAATAAAATTATTTGAGACCAACTCAGCAGCTACTAGCCGTTACACAACAGTATTAGAAGTGGGATGCTCTGTTGCGAATTTCCACAGAGCTCTTCACCAGTGGTACACACAATGTACAAAAAAAAACATAAATGTAACAAATGCAATGTTAAAGGATAAAGCTCGGGAATTGAATGCACAATTTCGCACAAATCATAGTTTTAAAGGCAGTCTCCGTTGGGTGACAAGATTTAAAGAACGTTCTAATTTCCGTAAAGAGGATATCAGTAAAGATTTAGGAAATCAATATGAAGCGGATATCTTCAAAGCTGAGATTAGAAAACTTCTGCAAGACGGGGAGTACACATTGGATAATGTTTACAATGCCGACTGCGCAGCACTAATGTGGAAAGCAGTACCAGAAAAAACTCTGCTCTTTGAGAAATCGCAATCAAGGAGAAGAATGGGCGAAGGACAAGTTACTACATTTCTCTGTGCAAATGCTACCGGATGTCATAAGCTGCCGGTACTAATAATCGCCACGATTGAGCATTTTCCATCTTTCAATAGTTTTCACACAAGTGATCCATCAATTATGAACAAAACTAACACCAAGCCTTTCATGGACAGTAACATACTCAATGAATGGTTCAATAAATGTTTCTTAAAATTAGTTACAGAAAGACAACAGAAAAACGAACACAGAGAGAAAACTCTGTTGTTGTTACATAACGGTGGCTTGGATCGCGAAAACAGGATAATAAGTACAAAAGATGAATTTGTTAAAATCATGTACTATTCGTATGAGGCTGCACCATTCATACAACCAATGGATCGTAGAATAATAGCATGTTTCAAGCGAATGTACAGAAACGAATTGCTAGAATCATTAATGCCAACATCTAACAGCGTTTCAGAGGAAGAACTTATACACATCTATTCCCAATTAAATATAGACGATTGCTGTCGTATGGTACATAATGCTTGGTCAAAAATCAAGAGTCCAATACTGAAAAACGCGTGGGACAAGCTTTTGAAAGATGAAAGCGAACAGAGTTCGGAAGACCCCGAAATAATAAAAAAAGACATAGACGAAGCTCTTACTAAACTGAACAAAATACCAGGATGCGGAGGGTGCGACAGTATCGCTGTGATGAACTGGTTTGAAACTGATAAGGAACATAATACCGACACACAAGATGATATCCAGGAAACTCTTCTAGATTTTATAAACGCAGCTACGAATACAGAGGCGAACGAACTTTGAAAATTTACTTGATAATAACTCTCCATAAAAGGCTTAGATGGTTTGAACTACAAAATGAAAGCAATTAGGAGGAATTACTTATATTAAGACACATATATTTAAAAATATATTAAGAAATATAATATGTATTATTGACAAGAAAGGAATGGGACGCGTAAGATTTTATGTAGCGCTGAATTGTTTGTTTGTACCATTTAATTTGAAATATATGACAATCGGTATACGACCAGCTGTTTTCCAATATCCTGATATTTATTATTATGAGTTACGATAATCAAGAATCAACAATATATGGAAAACAAGGAAAGATGCGAAATGGTCTCCTTGTATTTACGTTCTCTTTGACTTTCATATTTTCAATTTGAAACATTAGAGTTAAAGTAACTGTTAAATTAAATCTTTGTAGGGAATATCGAGATGGATCGATTAATGTATTAAACAAATATATGGTCCCACAAAAAAATGATAATGACCTTAAAATCTTATTTAAAAAATGACTTTCAGAAAAAACATTATCTACCACTGTGTGTGCCCCTCCATATAGCACAACTTACTGCTGTGTAGTTTTTTCCATGAAACCATTAAAAACGAAAATATTTAGGTGTTCCGATTTATGTATCCCATCCCATACGTCAACGAATATTTATCAGTGCGAGTACCTACCAAAGCCGCTGAATACGTAAATAATCTGTGCAAAACTTGATTTGGAATTAAATTTATATTTATAAAATCATATTATATAGAAAGAAATACAATACACAAATTAGCTTCTTGTTCCCCTCTTCTATCTCGTATTCTTTATAATTTGTCTTATTAAACGAAAAAGATACTACAATTGTAATTAATTAACTAAATATAATTATTAAGAGTTTAATTATTGGGAATGGCGACCTCGCCGATTTAAATAACTGTGAAATATATTATCAAGATTTTCATTCTCAATAACTTTTCGTCGGCTTTGGTTTTCGAGTTATGAAGCAATTTGTTAGTAAAAGATTAGCATTTATTATAATTATTCACATTTATCTGTGATCTCTATTCTGATGTTTTGTATAAAATTATTTATTTTTGTAATTTTGCAAAAAATTACAAGTTTTACCAAATTTCATTTGTATAAAGTGTAAAGGAAACATTAAATATAACATTAGACGCGTTAGAAGCCAAAGAAAATGCTAAATACTCTAGAGTTTGAATTAAAAGAAAATATAATAGAATATATTTTAATCTTATCAGAAGACAATTGCTGACAATCCTTTAGAAAGAATTTCAATCACAGCTTATAATTTTGATGTAATGTAAATATATCATCGCATTCTGATATCTACCAACTATCTTTTACCTAACAAATGTCTTAATTATCTTCCAAAGAAACTAAAAATTATGATTATTATTAATATTTTTGGAGATGTACGAATTACTAAACATATGCTATAAAATGAGCAGTAGCGTTAAACTAAATCATTAAACGTAAATGTTGATGCAGGTACTCGTTAACATACGTCTCTAAAATATTTACATCTTCTTAAAAGAAAGTAATAGTTTTCTGACATAAGAGGATGTCCTGAAATAAAATGTCAAAAAATCGTGTTTTTTTTATTGCTTAAATCGATAGATAAACTATCTAAGAATATATTTGCAAAGTGATAAAGGCCAATTCTAAATATTTCCAAGAATATAAAGCAGACGAGCGTGGAGCAGGTATGCGAGCGCTCGCCACTCCGACTTTCTATTCAGAGTTTCATACCTGAAAAAGGTTGAAGAGTTGTTCAATATAATAGTTATAATCCATGGTTGTATCCAGTCGAATCTTAATGTGTCTAATAGAAGTACAAACGTGTATGATTCATTTAGTGTACGTGACTTTACCTACTAGTTTGTAGCATTAATAGCTAGTTTTGTTCAGATTGTAAGAATTTGTACACATCGTAAGAATATTATGGTTTGGCCATTAGAAGGGACGTGGATTCTGTCCAAAAGATGAAAGAAGCTATAACAGCAACGCTGAATCATCCCGATCGATTGATTAATAAAGAAGTTGAGAAACACATTCGCCCAATTTATGAAGATCTCTCAGACGGTAACCTTTTTAACGCGATGCTTATGCGGTTATGAGTCGTTCAACTCAACAATTTGGCTCATCATTTCAAAACACCTCAATTCGGGCCAAAAGATCGTTGAAATTGCTGCCTACACGGCTGCAGGTATGTTCAACGAAGGGTATTCAGCGATTCTGAGTGTCATGCAGTTGCTTAATTTGAATATAGACCAGCAGTGCAAAATGTTTACTGATATCGCTGACACGCGACGGATCGAGAGAGAGAACAAGCGCCAGGCATTTAGCCGTAAAGAGGCTCATACAGCTCGTAGACTCCATCAAATGCATCAAAAGAAGGACTGATATATTGACCAGGAATAGCTGAGTAGCAGATTTTCAACGTAAGTAACTAAAAATTGATATTTTTTCCTATTGAAAACTTTGAAACGCGTTTTCACTAGTTTTTATTTTCACGATTTTTCTAAATTGGTGGGCGCAATACCAAAAAAACTAAACGACTTATTTAATTGAACCAACAATTTTTTTCTTCGGTATTAAATTCTCTTCTAAGTAAACTAAAAAAGTTCGTCAAAAAGTTTATTTAAATAATTGTTATAGCACCTTAAAGTTTTTTTTAAACACATTTCTTTCTTAAACCCGCCGAAATTTTTAATTTCACATTTTTTTCTGCCTTTTTTTAGTTCACCCTGAAGAAAACAAAAACTTAATCCTTTTTTGATTTTTTGTTTCAGTCAAGAATTACGAGGCGGATCTTTCCCGCCGATTGAAGACTGCAGCGACAAGACGCCCATGAAATAAGTAGGCTTAGAAATCTGTTATAATTTTTTTTTACTTTAAAAAGAACTTTTTTTGTATTCGTTAAATATATATAAAACCATACTTCAAAATTCAATAACTTCATTTCTTTCTTTCCCTTCTAAAACAAAAATCACAAAAAAACGCTGTTTTATAACGTTACAATTTAGGACACCCCCATAACAAGCTAATATTTCTTTAAGGAATAGCGAATTACATCTATCAATGCGTCAAAAAATATAATCTTACTTTTAAAAATGTATGTAACATTCCTCTTACCTCAACGCCTACATCTATCAATATTCTGGCTACATTATACGATAGCACCCTATATATGTTTCCATATATGTTCCTAAACACAACTTTCTTCTTCAGAATATCGAGCCGAAATTATTCGGCGAATCAAAGTTACCCGTGGCAGTTAAAAATATCTACAATTATGTTTAATAAAGGCCAAAAAGGTAACAATTCACATTCATTTACACTATGAAATTTGTAAAAGTAAATCCGTACTTGTAGATAGCATATCTCGTTCATCTCTGTCGAAATATAGTTATACTTACTAAAACTCCTTTATCAGATTATTAAGTCAGAATATTATATGTTGAATAAGAAATATTTAATATCGTCAGCTTCATGTCCAATTTTATGTTACATTCGTTGTTAGAAATTGTAAAAGAAAGACTATTCGTTACATTAGAATGTGTTTAAAGAAACAAAATGAAAGCTGTTCATCGCGTTTTAATAGATCAAGTAATTGGACAAACTTCCCCATATTTAGGAAACCGTTTAGGCATTTCTTTCGCCTGCTGTTTGATTCGATGAATTTTTCCTAATTGTACTTTAACCCCTTCATAACACTAGACGAGATGCCTCGCGTCTCGATACCACCTGTTTAACGTTTGTGCCGAGATATCTCGTCATCTAATACTAATGGTTTGACTCTATCGACGAAACGTCTCGCAGTTAATTCCGTCACGCAACTAAAAAAAAGAACTAAATGCAATTCTTTTCAAGTTGCTGGAATTCGCCATTTCGTAACCAATATCATCAAAGTTAATACCACCAGCCGCACCCAAGTGAATGTACTGCATAGAAATAGTTCAAATGCTTAAAACGAGGAATAACAAATCTCAAAGATATTATGTTTCTTATCACTTTCAAACCAGTTCATCACAGCAATACTGTCGCACCCTCCGCATCCTGGTATTTTGTTCAGTTTAGTAAGAGCTTCGTCTATGTCTTTTTTTATTATTTCGGGGTCTTCCGAACTCTGTTCGCTTTCATCTTTCAAAAGCTTGTCCCACGCGTTTTTCAGTATTGGACTCTTGATTTTTGACCAAGCATTATGTACCATACGACAGCAATCGTCTATATTTAATTGGGAATAGATGTGTATAAGTTCTTCCTCTGAAACGCTGTTAGATGTTGGTATTAATGATTCTAGCAATTTGTTTCCGTACATTCGCTTGAAACATGCGATTATTCCATGATCCATTGGTTATATGAGCGGTGCAGCGTCATTTGAAAGATACATAATTTTAACTAATTCATCTTTTGTACTTATTATCCCGCTTTCGTGATGAGTGGCAACGTTATTTAGGAAGAGCAGAGTTTTCTTTCTTCGCCCGATTTTCTGTCTTTCTGTAACTGATTTTAAGAAACATTCATCGGACCATTCATTGAAAAGTTTACTGTCTATCATAGGCTTGGTGTTAGCTTTGTAGATAATTGACAGAACTCCGGAGGATGTTAAACATGGAGGATCCTTCCGATTACTAGTACCGGCAACTTGTGACATCCGGTAGCATTTGCAGAAAAAAATGTAAGAACTTTTTCTCCGTACGGGCTTTTCTTTGATTGCGATGCCTCAAAGAGCAGAGTTTTTTCTGGTACTGCTCTCCATATTAGTCCTAAGCAATCGGCATTGTAAACGTTATCCAATGTGTATTCTCCGTCTTGCAGAAGATTTTTGAGCTGAGCTTTGGAGTAATCCGCTTCACCTTCATTTACGATTTCTAAATCTTCATTCGTATCCGTATTACGGAAACCATAACGTTTTCTAAAACTTTCCACCCAAAGCTTACTGCCTTTAAAAGGTAAAGTACTGCGAAATTTTTTATTCAATTCCTGAGCTTTAGTCGCTAACATCTCATTTGCTACTATTATGTTTTTATTTGTACACCGTATGTACCACTGGCGAAGAGTTCTGTCGAAATTCGCACAAGAGGCTGCACTTCCAAAAACTGTTGTGGAACTGCTAGTAGCCGCTGAGTTGCTCTCGAAACATTCCGTTATTCCATCTTGCATTTTTTTTATATTGTATATGGCGCCTTTTGAAATACCATACTTTTGTGCTATTATTTTGTAATGGACACCTTCTTCCATCATTTGGAGGATTTCCTGTTTCTTTTCAACTGACTACCATTTCCTTCTTTTTGTTAGAGCCATTATTGTTTGTAACGTTTCGTATGTAAATACCGCACTGAAATGTTGTGACGAGATCTTATTTCGACAGTTACAGTCGTCGACGATTTCGATAAGAGGAAACAAATACTATATGGATTATATACTTATATAGGTATATACGTATACAGGGTGGTTGGTAACTGATGGTACAAGCGGAAAGAGGGTGATTCTACGCGAAAAAAGAAGTCGAAAATATACAATAAACATTTTTTTTTAATTTTTTTTTTTTAATTTTTCCATCGAGGCAACGATCTACAGTGAGATCCGTTATACCGTACCGCACGCGTACCGAGCGAAAATTCAAAGTCGATTTTCTCGAAAACAAAGCCTCAAACGAAAAATTTTTATTGTATATTTTCGACTTCTTTTTTCGCGTAGAATCACCCTCTTTCCGCTTGTACCATCAGTTACCAACCACCCTGTATACGTATATACCTATATAAGTATATAATCCATATAGTATTTGTTTCCTCTTATCGAAATCGTCGACGACTGTAACTGTCGAAATAAGATCTCGTCACAACATTTCAGTGCGGTATTTACATACGAAACGTTACAAACAATAATGGCTCTAACAAAAAGAAGGAAATGGTAGTCAGTTGAAAAGAAACAGGAAATCCTCCAAATGATGGAAGAAGGTGTCCATTACAAAATAATAGCACAAAAGTATGGTATTTCAAAAGGCGCCATATACAATATAAAAAAAATGCAAGATGGAATAACGGAATGTTTCGAGAGCAACTCAGCGGCTACTAGCAGTTCCACAACAGTTTTTGGAAGTGCAGCCTCTTGTGCGAATTTCGACAGAACTCTTCGCCAGTGGTACATACGGTGTACAAATAAAAACATAATAGTAGCAAATGAGATGTTAGCGACTAAAGCTCAGGAATTGAATAAAAAATTTCGCAGTACTTTACCTTTTAAAGGCAGTAAGCTTTGGGTGGAAAGTTTTAGAAAACGTTATGGTTTCCGTAATACGGATACGAATGAAGATTTAGAAATCGTAAATGAAGGTGAAGCGGATTACTCCAAAGCTCAGCTCAAAAATCTTCTGCAAGACGGAGAATACACATTGGATAACGTTTACAATGCCGATTGCTTAGGACTAATATGGAGAGCAGTACCAGAAAAAACTCTGCTCTTTGAGGCATCGCAATCAAAGAAAAGCCCGTACGGAGAAAAAGTTCTTACATTTTTTTCTGCAAATGCTACCGGATGTCACAAGTTGCCGGTACTAGTAATCGGAAGGATCCTCCATGTTTAACATCCTCCGGAGTTCTGTCAATTATCTACAAAGCTAACACCAAGCCTATGATAGACAGTAAACTTTTCAATGAATGGTCCGATGAATGTTTCTTAAAATCAGTTACAGAAAGACAGAAAATCGGGCGAAGAAAGAAAACTCTGCTCTTCCTAAATAACGTTGCCACTCATCACGAAAGCGGGATAATAAGTACAAAAGATGAATTAGTTAAAATTATGTATCTTTCAAATGACGCTGCACCGCTCATATAACCAATGGATCATGGAATAATCGCATGTTTCAAGCGAATGTACGGAAACAAATTGCTAGAATCATTAATACCAACATCTAACAGCGTTTCAGAGGAAGAACTTATACACATCTATTCCCAATTAAATATAGACGATTGCTGTCGTATGGTACATAATGCTTGGTCAAAAATCAAGAGTCCAATACTGAAAAACGCGTGGGACAAGCTTTTGAAAGATGAAAGCGAACAGAGTTCGGAAGACCCCGAAATAATAAAAAAAGACATAGACGAAGCTCTTACTAAACTGAACAAAATACCAGGATGCGGAGGGTGCGACAGTATTGCTGTGATGAACTGGTTTGAAAGTGATAAGAAACATAATATCAACATACAAGTCGATATCAGAGGTACTCTTATAGATTTTATAAATGCAGCTATGGATACAGAAGCGAACAAACTTACTGACGAGAACTTTCGAGATATACTTGATGATAGCTCTCCATAAAAGGCCTAGATGATTTGAACTAC